TAGCTTTGAGTCGTGTGTCCCAGGAACCCTTTCAAGAATTTTTCATTTGCACTCCGAGTTGATTGGAAATAATCAATCAAAAAGAAATCAGAAAGTATTCACACAACATATTCCCCCGGGCCAGAGCTGGGCTAGAAGGGTTAAGTGCATTAGAGTTCTCTCCCATTCTCGGCTTATTTCAACTCTTAGTTCTGTGTGTAGTATGTGGCATAGTGTGTCGTGCACTCATATAGCCATAATGCCAGAAATACTTATTCCCTGATATGCAACAAACAAGCAACAAACGACCAACAACAATGGCAGCAGAAAGCTAAGCCAAGGCCGGAACAAAAAGTGGTAAACAAGTGAAAAGCGGTGAGCGCTGCCAGGTGCAGCAGCAGTTGCAGTTACAGTTATAGCCATAGTCAAAGAGCCAGGACCAGAGAGGACCAGTTCAAAGGACAAAGCTGGAAAAAACCCAGAGGAAAATGGAGGAAAAAAAAACCCAGCAGAGAAGTAGACTTGAAACATTTACCTGAGAAACCAGAGGCGGGGCATTCCCTTTGCGGTGTCATTTGCAATTATGTGGCCAGGCCATGCATGCGAGTTTGATGAGCTCCCCCAGCTGCAATCTTCAACGGCAATCTCTGTGCATTAGTGGAGAACTAAGAGGATAAAGGCTTTCAATTCACACAGTGCTCCATCCTGTATTTCTCAAACTGCATTCGAAATGAACTAGCTGGCCGATTCATTAGCCGATTAGCTGGTATCGAACTCAAATATTTATTAAAGCCAGCTCCGGGAAGTGTGACTGAAAAATTAACTCAATTTCCTTTGTTCTTTGTTCAATTCCGAAACTGAAACTGAAACTGAGAAGATTTCGAGTGGCGGAGATGCAGAGCATTTTTCCATTTGGCCAATGCAAACAAGAGGCGAGGCAGAAATATGAGAAATCGAGTATGCAAACACAATTTGAATGCTTGAAGCGAAAGTGAATCGAGCTGAAAATTCATCAAATTCGAACAACAATACTTGGATTTGCTGAGCCAAGGAGACTCTCCTACGAGACTGGCAAATTTAATTAGTAGAGGAGTAGTGGCATAAACAAAAATTCAATTCAACGGATATCCCTCTCAAATCACTATTGGTATCGCTTCGGCATCGCATCCGGGTGTGCTCTTGACTACAAATTAATTATACGTCACTTCTATTTAATTAGTTTATTGAATGGCCGGCCACCCAGTCAGGCAGCCAGGGCAGCACTTGGCAATCAATTCGAATATTTTCATGCACATGCAGCTGCGATAAATGTGGCACTCAACACTTCAGTTTGGACTTGGAATTTGTCGAGGTTAGGTCCTGGTCTTGGTGCTTTTCCTGTTCCAACTCCTACTCCTGCTGGTCGTGGCCATTCAGACGTGCAATCTGAAATCGAAAAATCAAAACCCAAAACAAATTCAATGTCCCGAAAGTGTGTCCGTCGATCCTTTGCTCCCGTCCGGCTGTCTCTGTGTGGCTTTAGTTGTGCTTCCCTGCTTGTGCCTGTGTGTGTGTGTGTGTAAGCCACTCAGCAGGATAACGAATGGAACTGCACAATGGGTAGAAAAGTGCAGTTTGCGGTTGAAAACCGGATATTTTCTTTTCGCTCTCACAGCTGCCTGACACAAACAGCAGACGACTCAGGTGCAGCTAACGTCCACGGCCAAGTCTTAGACGAAGACGCAGGCAGACAGACGCAGGACTCCATGATTCAGGATCCAGGATGCGGAAAGAAGGCTGCCTGCGACTTGGCAATGAAGCGAGGAAATGAAATAGCAGCCCCGGCCAAGCAGATACATTTACGAGATACGAGTACATAAACATAAACATTATTAATTAACATTCAGGGGGCTGTCCTCGCCAGACCCTGCTTAGATACGTCCTGCCTGGATCCTGGAAAACTTAATTGAATGCGGGACGGAAGCTCGGGAAAATCACAGTCAAAGTGGAAACTGGAAAAGATTATTAAACACATCCTCCAATCCTCTCAGCATCCCTCCCCCTCCCATGTTTTCAGTAACGAAGAGCTAACGACATAAACATCAGCCGGCAGCCAATTAATGACAGCGCGCTACAGCGTTTATCGTTTCACTTACAGCCCAATGTGGCAACCAGACAGCCCCCACCGCCGCATTCCTGGCCACCCCTTTTTGCCACCTGTAATGCTGTTCCAAAGGTTTGGCAGACAATGAAAATCAACTAAGCAATTGGCAGCCAAACGGGACACCTCCGGCCACCTCTCTAGATGCAGCCACAAAAAAAAAGGCTCCAAAGAGTGCTTCAAATTAGTTGGCCATGACTGTGTGTGGCAAGGAACGGGGTCTTGCATCGTGGGGTGTGAGGGGGGAGAAGGGCACACATGCAGTGGCTGCAAAATGAAAATGAGAAACTAAGGAAAACAGAGGAATGAAAACTGAATTATTGCTCAGGGCGAAGCGGGTCGGGAAAATCAGAGGGGGGGACCACAGCCGGGCTCTAACATAAATGTAATGCTTTTATTAGTTATCGATACAGGCATCTTACACTGGAAAAGTTTAGAGACTTTAGTACTGAGGAAAACCTTGTTTCCAATACTCACACCATAAGGCTATGACATTTGGCCAAAGCGGAACCTTTTTAGCCTTTACATTTCAGGGAACTTAGTATCGTCGAACTGCATCAAAATATTGTTCAAATCGCAAAATAACATTTTGGGTTCATTTTTGGCCAAAAATATGAGGATACCCCTTTGAAAAATTGCGAAAATCGGGTCAGATTTTAGTTGGCCAGGTTTGGATTGAAAATGAAAGTTCTCGAAGATCTAAGATCGGGAAGGCATAACATTCTTCGATCCGACAAGAATTAGACAAGTTATAGCTATTTCCCTGAAAATTATCGAGGCGGAAAACCTCTTGACCAAGTTAAGACAGTCGATGGCCAAAATATCGTATTTTGAGTCGGTTTTTACTAAATATCTTAGCCATTACGTATCGGATATCGAAAAGGAGTACCATTTACATTTCAGGGAACTTAGTATCGTCGAACTGCATCAAAATATTGTTTAAATCGCAAAATAAAATTTTAGGTTCATTTTTGGCCAAAAATATGAGGATACCTCTTTGAAAAATTGCGAAAATCGGGTCAGATTTTAGTTGGCCAGGTTTTGATTCAAAATGAAAGTTCTCGAAGATCTAAGATCGGGAAGGCATAACATGTTTCGATCCGACAAGGATTAGCCAAGTTATAGCTATTTCCCTGAAAATTATCGAGGCGGAAAACCTCTTGACCAAGTTAAGACAGTCGATGGCCAAAATATCATATTTTGAGTCGGTTTTTACTAAATATCTTAGCCATTACGTATCGGATATCGAAAAGGAGTACCATTTACATTTCACGGAACTTAGTATCGTCGATCTGCATCAAAATATTGTTCAAAGCGCAAAATAAAATTTTGGGTTAATTTTTGGCCAAAAATGTGAGGACATACCTTTGAAAAATTGAAAAAATCGGGTCAGATTTTAGTTGGCCAGGTTTTGATTAAAAATTATGCTACTCGAAGATACAAGATTGGGAAGACATGACATTCAACGCTCGGATTAGTATTAGCCGAGTTATGTCCAACGGTATGTGCTCTTTGGCCAAAAAGAAAACTTACTTACTTAGTTTTCTTAAAACCATTAAAATGGTTTTTAAAAATTAATTTAAGGGTACAAAAAAATTATTTTTAAACTTTCTTTTAGATATTTTTGAACCAGTATAATTAAGAAGAGATCATCATAAGCTCCCCTCTTATGATGATCCGCTACAAAACAAGGTTTTGGCAAAAAAAAACTCGCCGAGGTTAATTAGGTAGGGAAGCTCTTTTATTAAATTATTATAGAAATTCTTATTAAAAATATTTCTAAAGAAATAATTCTATTATAAAAAAAAAAGCTTGAAATATGATTATTTCTAGAATTTTTTCAAGTGCATAAACCGCGAAGCCGAGATATAGAAAAGTCAAAAGTCCGTGTCTCACGGGGGGATATATTAAATTCGTTGGATCCAGTGGAGACGGGGGCGGTGAGGGAGGGGGAAGACAGAGCTGGTATCCGGCGCCAAAGATTTACCAAACATCCGATGGAAAATAGCCCACACCCCCACTCCCCCCGGAGCTGTTGTTGTTAGCCAAGTTTGTTGTTGGCAGACGCGATTGCAGCAAATCAGAAAATACTCGCACAAGTGCGAATGTGAATATTGATGCCAGCCATCGCATAAGTCTGTATGTACGATTATGTACATAAATATGTAAGTGTGTATGTAGGAATGTATGTGTGGGGGAGTGTGCATGAGTGTGTGTTTAGTTGGCATTGCAAAACACAAACACAAAACTTTCATTCTAGTCGTGCTCCGCGACTCGACTTTAGCCAGCCACTTGGTGCTACTTCGCCCACTTTACCGCCACTCCACCCACTCAGGCGGCCTTCCCCCCTCCAGCTCTAGTATCCACAGGCATGCCACAGACACACAGGCACACATGCAACCAAAGCGAAGCGCTCCTTGCTCGCTTACTTGCTACTTCCGCTTCCGAATCCGTTTTGTGTGCTGTCGCCGCAGAAATTTAACGAAGTCACACGTCGCCAATGTTGTGCTGCTGTGCCACTCTGCCACTCGCTCTCTCTTGTTCCTAAAGAGAGCTTTCTACCTCTCTTCTGGCAAGGACGACAGCATCCGAGGCGGTCGGAAAGCATCGGCAGCATCATCGGGACATCGGAATAGAGGAACATCGGCACATCGTCACATCCTTGGCCATCGGCTCCAGATGGCAGCATCCTTTGTGTCCTTTAGCTCAGTCACGAATTCAGTTTCGAAGCGTTCGGTTGCAGCGTTTAAGGACCTTGTGCTGCCCAGAAGAGCCCAAATTAGAAACTCTTGTTTTGTTTTGATTTTCGCAAAATTTCGCGCGATTTTTTACATCGGTGTGCGTGTGTGCACTCGTGGCGGGCAACCCCAGGAATTGTCTCCTGTCTTCTGGCTGACTCCTTTGGAGTGTATGTGTATTTGTATTTGTAGTTGTGTGTGTGTGAGGCTACAACTCCGCGTATCCTGTCTGTTAGTCTGTGAAAGGGAAGAAGCCGGCATGGCAAGGCACATCTTGCGGCAGCAATTGTTGTTGGTGGCATTGTAATTGCAGCAGCCACCGTGCCACAGCGCATACTTGACATCTTCGCCGCCAAATTGTGCGATTCCTTCTTTTTTCCCACTCTTGGAGCTCTGAAGCTCTGGAGCTGGGAGCTCCTTTCCGTTTTCCGTTCCGTTCGAGCGACGTGAAGAGCCCTCAAAATCCGCTATTTCAACTGTATTCGCAATCCATTTGCCTGCTGCCCTAGACGGGCAAACAAATTTTTTGCAATTCAATTTCTATTGTGCATTGGCGATGCGGAATGTGCGCATCGTTTGCTGTCAATGCCAAGTATTTCGCATAAAAATTGAAAATTGCATGCAAATTAAATAAATAGACATCCCACCAAAGGAGACGAAGGAGCCGAAGCACAACCAGAAGCACCCACAGCTGAGATAGACACTCCGGAAAATATACATCTCAATAGCGAGACATAGATATTACTAGAGAACCTCCTCCATATATACATATATATCGAGCTGCGAAAATGACAATTGTGAGTTGTGGTTCAAAATTGTTGGCTTCGCATGCGGGGCACAATCAAAGCAAACGTCATTAGCACTCGCGACATCGCCTTCGATTGACAGGAGGACGAGGAGCAGGAGCAGGAGCAGGAGCAGCAGCAGTAGCAGAAGAAGGAGAAAGAGGTGGAGCTGTAGCAGGTCCTGCCGCAGAAGCAGGCACGAACAACTTCACATTTGCATAACTTTAGTGCAACGCCAGCGTTCAGATACCGATTCACAGGTACGAGAAAAACTCCTTACCAAAGTCGATTTCCGTTTCAGGCAACTTCCCTTTCCCTATCCCTATCCCATTCCCCTGCACCCCTCCACCGATATCCACCAGGACCTCCTCGTCCTTCCAGCTTCACAACTTTGCTATCATTTCTATTTTCCTGTTTCTGTTTTTCATACCCGATATCTGTATCCCCCACCGAGTACCCCCGAGCGAAAGGGTAAAATCAGAGAATATTCAGCTCGTGCTGGAGTTGGCTGCGGAAAATCCATTGTGGTGCATTCACAGTTGGTTTCGATTCGCCTGGGTGGCGGCACTGGGTGGTTTTGTAAACGATTAAAGTACAAAATTTGCTTTCCTGAGCACAAATCGTGAGCACAATCCAGCAGGCTCAGGCTTTTTGGAGCACCTCCTTTATAATTTAATGATCTTAGGTAGAGTTTTGTGGAAAGACTTACAGGTTAGATTTGACTAAGGATACCTGTTGGTTCCTTTTAATTTCCAGTATTCGAGTAAAGCAATCACTTTTAATTGTTTTCCAATCAATTCGAATGAGTTGCAATAAGAAGAATATTCAATTTCACCGTTTATGTTCATCTCTAATTGGCAACAATCAAGGTAAAAAAGCTTTTTCTTAGAATATCATTTGCTTTAATTGTTTTAAAAATATTTGGTTTCAAAGATAACTAATTTAAATGTTGTAAAGTTAAATAAAAGCTATTAGAACTGTTTTTTTGTGAAAAGAAATTAAAACAAAAATTACTAAAAATCCACTACTTACTTATCCTTTTCGAATACCATTACCTCTGTATAGTTTTGAGGATTTGCTAGGTACTTGCTGGTCTAGAACACTTGACAATGGAATCTCCGATTTGTTTTTTGCACTGCTCTTTGCTTTAGTATCAACTTTACGGCTGCCCCGGCCCCGGACCCGGACCATACCCGTACCCGATCCCGCACCCGTACTTTGCCGGGCTACATCATGGCCACGTTATCCAACTTTTAGTTATGGCTTTCGCTTTTCGCATAATGTCAGTTTTATTTGGTTTTGGTTTTCACTGACGGGACGCGGGTGGGAGCCAAGGTCTGTAGGATTACGGGAGGGAGGTGAGGCTAGAGCGGGTGTAACGTCCCGGCTCAAATCCATGGCAATGCCAAAGCTTGAGGCCTCAAGAAAGGCTCGTGCCTGGCCATTCGGCACCCTTGCAAGATTTATTGTGCCTCACACACCCGGTCACAACCGTACACCCTTATACCCATACACACGTACACCTAACACCTTCAGCCGGAGCGGAGTCCTTCGCCCAATCCCAACCCGCCCCCTTGAACCTTTCCTTTTGGGTTCTAGCTCCAGCTTCAGCTCCATCTCGGTCTCGTTCTTCATACATCTGCAGTCCCATAATCTCTACTATTTGCATCGCAGACTTTGCTTTGGATTTTGCTATGGCAATGGATTTAGTTATGGTTTTTCTTACTCTCCTACTTTCCGCATTTCTTTTCTCTCCCCCATATCCTGGTTCTCCTTCCTCGACTTCTGTCCATCCGTCTCCGCTCCGGTTGCGCTTTTTCCATACACACACACATACTAGTCGGACGTTTGTTTTTCCTGCCGTTCCTGCCACACACACACACTGAGCAAAAAAGATTTGCCCAACTTTGTATCAAAAAAAGGACGAGACAGAAGAAAACGGGTGAAAGTCCTGCGGCTAACCGCAGCCAGGGTCCTTGATGTTGGCCCAGGGCTGGCCAGGACTGCGGCTAATGAATAACCGTCGTAATCCACGCTGCAGCAAGGACGATATGCAAATATGTAAGACAGATTAACTGATTGTAAGTCTAGGAGTTAGAAGGACATTTCACTAATCTCTCATACTTTTTATTACAAGAAAATATTACTCTAGTAACTATTGAGAATAACCCATAGTTTCAATCACAATTGAAGAAATACCCATAAAGCTTTCGAATCTGACTTTTAATGCATCTTAATGATAAATAATTCAAGCTAAGATCCTCTAACCACATCATTTTACACATCGTTTTTTAAAGGAACCTTTTTTCCAACCATTAATCCAAGTCCTCCTTTTTTTATTGGAGGTCCTTGCATCTTTTATGCCAAAAAATCACCCTTGTGACTGCTAATGAAATTCGTGGAATTTATTTCTTAGTTCTGACTTCATTATTATTTGAGTGGAGGTGCGGACGCCTATATAATATGTATGTATGGCCAGGCAATCCATAAAATTTGATCCCTGATCCATTTGTTCCGGAACGGCACGCATACCTTCACCGTCCTGGAAATCCTATCGCAACCCATCACCGCCATAGCGACCGCAATTCTTCTTATTTTTTTTTGGCTCGGTGTAGTCGTAACTCGTTCGCCCAGATTTGGGGCTCCTTGAGGAAGCCGCAAATGCGAGCGCTACCCTCACACTCACCCAGACACACACATGCAGGACTAACAGGATTTCCCATAAAACGGAAATGGCATTATCCTCGCACATATTGTTGTGCGGATTTTAGTTTTTATTACACCAAGCACCATCCAGTGCGCGGTTGCTGTCCATAAGAAGCCTCACGGGTACCTCCATTGCCAAGGAACAGCAGCGGCGGCAGCAGCAGGAGCAGAAGGAACAGTTCCAGCATAAATATCATTTGTGTCTGTTTGTGTGATACATCAAGGAGTGACCCATTAGCCCCGAGCCAACTGACGCCCCACCTGGCTCACCTGGTTGCAATTTATGGGCGGTCCCCTGAAAACTTCACACAATCTGCGGGGACTGGTTGAGGGTCAGGGGCGGAGGCCGAGATGGGGGCAAGTCAAGGAGAATTGCTCTACGCTAATAGGTTTCAAGGCATTGTCTTGGCTAGCAGGGAGAGAATGATTGGGTAACGAGGATCTTGCGGGCAAGATTTATAACACCGCCGTCCAAGCCAACAACAAAGGCTTCAAAAGACCACAGAAGCACCTCTAACTACACTCAAGCAAATTGCAATCGTAATGTAATTCCTAATGAAAATTAATTTATTATTACTAGAACAGTTAGTTAATGCCTTAGGGTTAATTTTAATGAGTTAACAGATTAGACTGCAGATTGTTAATTAAATCAAATTTGATACGCTAATGGGTTATTAAATATTCCAGATGGAATTAGAAGTTAGTTATTTAATGGAAATATTTTACAGAATTTTAAAATAGTTTTTAAAATAAATAACTACTCTTAGTAAACTACTTACTTTGTTTTAAATATTCCACAAGTTTTTAGAGCATCAGGATGCTTTCCATGGTTTTTCTTTTTAAGCGTTTGAGAATTTTTTTGTTTTAGTAATATTCCCTGAGTGTTTTCCCCGACCCTGGCCGTAGTCTGCAAAAACCAAAACCCCAACGAAAGCAAAGCAACCTAAACAAACACTTGAGGTGTGTAAAGTTAGCCAAGACTGCGTTTTTGCTTGGCTTCGTTTCGGCCCACATTATGTGTGTGCGGTGTGGTTGGAGATTTTGGCTTTCGTTGGCTTGGACAAGAAAACTCTTTCGTTCGTCTGTCCGCCAGCCAGTCCGCTCGTCCATCGGTCGGTTCAACTGTCCGCTTCTTCGTTTTTGTATCTGGCTTACTCTGCTTTTGTGCTTAATCACAACACGCACATTTACATATTGGTTTTGGCCAACTTGAGCAATCCCTTAAGATGGTCGACCCAACCCTTTTTTTCCCCGTCGCTGGTTTATCTGTTCGCTTGTCTTTTGTTGTTGTTGTTGTTGCTGCTGCTGCTTCTACTGCTATGTGGTTCAAGTTCAGCCCATCACCAGGGGTCGGTGGGTCAGGCTTACGGTTAAGTAAACACTCAGCAAGAAGCATCCACAGCCACCTCCACCTCCACAGCTACAGCTTCAGCCACATCCACATCCAGTCGCACACTTACACTCGGCAGGCGGTCGTCTCCCTGGACAGACATTGCCCAACCGTTTGTGGCTTGGCATTGTTTTCACTTTCCAACGAACACCACCCCACCACCACCCATACCCCACTACCCCAGCACCACCCACTGTCTCTCGGCCTGTCTGTTTGTCTGTCCAAGTGTCTGGTTGACGGGCGGCTGTCCTGTGCCTTGACTGCTTCATAAAACATACAACAAAATCTGAAATTGATGATGGGCAGTGATTGTGGAAAGTTGGCAGTCAGTTAAATTGGGTTCCTGGCTTTCCTTTTTTGGGCCTACAAGTTAAGAGGCAAGGGGTAGGATGTGAAGGGTGTGCTGCGTTAATTGCTTTGTGAATGGTGTCCGCCTTGGCCGGAAAGTTAACATTTAACTTTAGTCTATTCGGGACTTTAATCTATTTATAATTGAGGAATGCATAAAGCATGTTAAATACGAACTTACACAAATTCTACTTTGTTATGCGACCTAATCGGGCCCGGTCTTCAGCTGGAAGGACTGGCTCACTTTTGGGAGCATTTTCACAGCCAAGGGTCGCCAGCCATTGTTTTAAATGCGGATCTCAGCAGGGGGATTGGAGTTAGAAGGTGGGAGACTTTGGAAGAAGATGTCAGTGAGATGGAGCCCAGTGAGGTGAAGGCGACTCACATAATTTGCATAACTAATTTGTGGAAACTTTGGGCATAGGAAGTTGTTGAAAGTTCCTGAAGGAGCTCCATGAACAGAAATAGGAACGGAGAGGAGAGGAGCCGCAGCCGTAGTTTCAATGCCAGGAGTTGGTGCAATTTCTTCATCTCCTTAACTGCGGTGGCGCTGCAGAAAAGTGCTTAATTCTTTTAAATGAACGAAGCCAGTACCGAGCAGGATGGGACTGGTTCAGGACCAGACAGGGCAGGGTAGGGCATTTGAAAAGCTGTCCTAATTGAATACATGAGAGCATAAGTTAGCAGTGTGGTACTTTGATATCAACTTTGATTGCTTTATGGCACTTGAGCGTACAATTTGGCTTAGTTGGCAGTTGTTTGTTGTCCTGCCACTGGGTTTCTCTTGGCCATTTGGGGCCACCGTTCCACCTCAAA